GGAGACCCTCGGAGGAATCGCGAGAAGTACGTGTCAGAACCTTCCAGCAGGGAGTGGGGAAGCCATTTATCCGCAGCTCCTGTCCCTCACTGGTTGAGGGCCGCCCTGGGGAACGTGAAATCCCCAGGCTGCCCCGCTCCCCGTCCGTGTGCGTGGGAACTGCCCGTGGCTGTAGGTGAACCCCAAGGGCCTGAGGGGTCCCAGCTGGCTCTGCCGTGGCTTCCAGCGCTAGACCAAAGCCTCTCCTCCAAACGCTCATTCCTTCTGCCAGCCTGGCTGACAGTGGGAGCCATCCCCCACGGAAAGGGGGGTGGGCTGGCCCGCTGGCCTTGAGAGGGCATCTGACTCCGGCGGGCTCTGTATTTTTGACAGCCTCTCCAGCTGGCTCTGATGGGTGGCCAGGGTGGACAGACCGCTCTGGATGACCTTCGAGTCTCCTTCAGAGCCTGAGAGTCAAGGCTTTATGTTTCCCCCCAAGCAAAACGAGGCCCCGTTTACTGAGCACACACTCGGATAACGAATAACGCGCTCGTGCAAAAGGCAGGGGCCCTACCTTGGAAGCGTAAAACCCGACATGGCCCCTGCTGCAAGGAGGGAAAATGTATGCTTAGAGAACACGGAGGAGGGAGTGACTCGCTCTGGGGCGGAGAAGAGAGGGGACGGAGCAGGGGAGGGAGGGAGACTGGAACGGCCTGGAAAAGGTGGCAAAAACCAGATCGTGAAGAGGCTTGAATACTCGCTTAAGCGTGACTTTTCCTTTAGAAGTGATAGAGGGCCAACGGAAGCCTTTTTTGCCCTTGGGGAGGGTGACCGAGTGTCACTGCCCACTAAACACCCACGTCCTGCCCCTGGGCGTCTAGGCAGAGGCCGGTGATGTGCACTCCTTATCTGACACTCGCCGTCTCGCCCTCATTCCTGTGGCCAGAGACAGAGGACTTGGAAACGGTGGGATCGTCACATGAAGGTGGCTTTGGGAGGAGTCTGGGCAGGGGGGACACCTGTCTAGCGCCGGACCGTGTCACGAGAGAGAAACACACCCTCGTGTTAGGCCACTGCCACTTGAGGCTTCATTTGTCAGTCTGCTTACCCTAGCTAATACGAGAAGGCAACACGAAAACGAAAAAGTAAAAAATAAACTCGGATGCGGTGTTCACGCATGCCGTTCCCAACCACCCTGTGACATCGGCGCGGAGGTCCCAGCTTTGCAGACGTGACACGGAAGAGCGGAAAAGTGAAGGGATTCACCTGAAGTCGGCACAGCTGGTGGGTGAAGGAACCGGGGCTCACACCCGGCTGGGTGTGATTCTGGTGTTTTGCACTTCGAGGCCCGGCGGAACCCGAGGTAACTTCTGGCCACGCGCGGATGCAGGGGCTGAATTTAATTAGCTTCGAATTTATTTGAAGGCGTACCGGAACACCTTCGCCAGCTGGGCCTCGAGCCGGGGATTTCACGGCTGTGATGTGTTCGGAGGGGGAGAACGTTGCTCACAAAGTGAGTTGGCTGGTTTGGAGTTCAGGAGGCAGAGTAAATAAACAAGAGTAAAGGTACGCGTGGACCCGGCCAAACTGTGATGTTTGGGATGGTTGGGGGGGGGGGGGGGGGGGGGGATGGTGGTGAAGGACCAGGATTTGCTCTTTAGGAAAAGAACGGAGTCTTGGGTCCTGGGCAGGGGAGTCCTGTGCCCTTCGTACACAGCCGCGCCTGCCGGGGGCCTCTCGCTTGATCGCAAACGCTTCCTTGGATAAAACACTAGAGGCTTTAAGTTTCTGGAAACCCGAGGTATGTGAAAACAAGGAGAGGGAACAGTGAGAGCCCTTCACGGCTGCCTGTCTGACTCGCGAGCGTTTTTTTCCCCTCTGGCTCGTACCGGACACTCCGTTCCCGATTTTCATTCCTGGGGGACAAAAGGCTTCACATCCCGAAAACACAAATATTTATCTTCTTTCCTCAGCGTATGTGCCGAACTTCCTCCCCCAAAGCCCTTGCTCCCGCCGTGGCATGTGAAAGCCGCCCCCTTTTGGGGGGACCCTATCTCTGCTCCTGGAGACTTACCTGTGGCGCGTTTCTGTGGCCCTGCTAATGAGCGGAGGGGTGACACAGAAAAGGTGCCTGTGTTCCTCCGAGGGGTCCACAGAACGGCCATTCAGACGTGCAGCTGAAAGAGCTGTTTCATGGGCCCAGCTGCCGCCCCGGCCAAGAGAGCTGTGTACCCTGAAGTCTGGCCACAGCCCCGTGCATCGGGGAGGGGACCCCGAGCCAGGAGGCTGCCGCTCACGTTTCCCTCGTGCACCTCCAGCAAGGTCACGGGCAGCACCCTGCGCCCCCCTCCCCCCCGCCCCACGGTCACCACCGCCGACCCCACTCCGACCCTCGTCGGTTCACAGGGAAATGGAGCCCGTTCGTCATCTGTTTCTTCTTTTAATTCATTTCTTTATTTGCTCACGGGATCCCTTGTTCCGGCCTCGTGCCGGGTCTTGCGGTTCAGCAGTGACTGTGACGCGCAAGCCCCCCCTCCCTCCCCCCCACCGCTCAGAGGGCGCTGGCGGCCAGCGGGGGGAGCCGGCTGAGACCCAAACTGGGGAGGCGAGAAGCAGAGCGGTCACGATGCCCTGCAGTGTCTTTGCAGAAAAGGATCACACTTAACAGTGGGAGAGGGGAAAGGAACCGGCAGACTCAGTGGGTGTTTGGGGCTGGGGAGGGCTATGAATGTCAGGAATAAATGAAATGTCAATGGGAAACGGCAAAGGGAAATGCTTTTGGCTTCCTTGTTCTCTAAAACTGGGGCATCAAGAGGCAAGAGGCCTGAGTTCCAGGCTGGGCTCCGTCCCTGAACCGGCTGGGTGGCTTCAGGCAAGTCACGGGCTCCTCCGGGCCTCAGTTGCCTCGTCTGACAAATGGGCTGATGCTCTTGGAGCTGCTCACCTCACGGGTCTGTCTGGAGAACAAGGAGACACATAACAGAGTGTGACCGCCGTGACTGGTCAAGATTGTGCGAACATTGGGTGGGGCGCTTTTATTTTTTAGTTGTTTAAAGTTTCTGTGTATTTACTTTGAGGGAGACGGAGAAAGTGAGAGCAGGGGAGGGGCCGAAAGAGAGAGAGGGGGAGAGAGAGAGAATCCCAAACGGGCAGAGCCCGATGTGGGGCTTGAACTCACGAACCCGTGAGATCATGACCTGAGCTGAAATCAAGAGTCAGATGCTCAACCCACTGGGCCACCCGGGCGCCCTGGTTGTGTC